CCTGTCTAAATAAAAAGATACAAGGTTGTTATATATCCCAGGACATAGAACTGGATAAATTAAACTGAATTTTCTCAAGTTTCTACTCAGGAGTAGAAGAAAGAATGAGAAAATTATAAGCAGAATTTATATCATCCTTGGATGGTAGTATATAGTAGCAGTGAAAAATTGGCTTCCAGCTTTCTTTTTAGTTTACAGTTAATCTCATTTCAAATCATCCCTGTATGTACACACACTCCTTCCCAGGTCACCATTTTCTTCTTCCTTTAGATTCTGCCCCTGCTCCCCACACACACACACCTAAATTTCTGCAAAAGTTTCATCTGTAAATCTATCCATTTACATCAAAAATATCTAATTTTACAGATTATCAGTGTCATGGACCCTAAACGAAAATTCCACAGTAGTGTATTATGAAAAAAAGATCACATACAAACATACATACACACACAAAATTACATTTCAGGCATTAAAATACATAAATATATTTCAGAAATAGACAACAGCCTTCTAAGAAGACTTGAAACTTCTCCATGGCCATGATATTTCGCCTTTAATGCCATGTGGTCTGCCAAGTGAGATTGTTTCTAGAGGTTCTGAGGGAGTAAGAGGCTCTTTTACAAAATGTTTGGGGGTTCAGAATTTAAACTTAAAGCAGTATATACAGAAATTCCATTTTACAGGGCACTATGAATTTCATTTGAGCTATTTCAAATCCTAAAAGATGATACTGTGAAAGTGCTGCTCTCAATATGCCAGCAAATTTGGAAAACTCAGCAGTGGCCACTGGACTGGAAAAGGTCAGTTTTCATTCCAATCCCTAAGAAAGGCAATGCCAAAGAATGCTCAAACTACCGCACAATTGCATTCATCTCACATGCCAGCAAAGTAACACTCAAAATTCTCCAAGTCAGGCTTCAACAGTACATGAACCATGAACTTCCAGATGTTCAAGCTTGTTTTAGAAAAGGCAAAGGAACCAGAGATCAGATTCCCAACATCTTTTGGATCATTGAAAAAGCAACAGAGTTTCAGAAAAACATCCACTTCTGCTTTATTGACTATGCCAAAGCCTTTGACTGTGTGGATCACAAAAAACTGTGGAAAATTCTGAGAGAGATGGGAATACCAGACCACCTAACCTGCCTCTTGAGAAATCTGTATCCAGGTCAGGAAGCAACAGTTAGAACTGAACATGGAACAACAGACTGGTTTCAAATTGGCAAAGGAGTACATCAAGGCTGTATATTGTCACCCTGCTTATTTAACTCATATGCAGAGAACATCATGAGAAACGCTGGGCTGGATGAAGCACAAGCTGGAATCAAGATTGCCAGGAGAAATATCAATAACCTCAGATATGCAGATGACACCACCCTTATCGCAGAAAGTGAAGAAGAACCAAAGAGCCTCTTGATGAAAGTGAAAGAGGAGAGTGAAAAAGTTGGCTTAAAACTCAACACTCAGAAAACTAAGATCATGGCATCCGGTCCCATCACTTCATGGCAAATAGATGGGGAACAGTGGAAACAGTGACAAACTTTATTTTGGGGGGCTCCAACATCACTGCAGATGGTGACTGCAGCCATGAAATTAAAAGATGCTTGCTCCTTGGAAGAAAAGTTATGACCAACCTAGATAGAATATTAAAAAGCAGAGACATTACTTTGCCAACAAAGGTCCATCTAGTCAAGGCTATGGTTTTTCCAGTAGTCATGTATGGATGTGAGAGTTGGACTATAAAGAAAGCTGAGAGCAGAAGAATTGATGTTTTTGAACTGCGGTTGGAGAAGACTCTCAAGAGTCCCATGGACTGCAAGGAGATCCAACCAGTTCATCCTAAAGGAAATCAGTCCTGAATATTCATTAGAAGGACTGACTGTGAAGCTGAAACGCCAATACTTTGGCCACCTGATGCGAAAGAACTGACTCATTTGAGAAGACCCTGATGCTGGGAAAGACTGAAGGTGGGAGGAGAAGGGGATGACAGAGGATGAGATGGTTGGATGGCATCACCAACTCAATGGACATGAATTTGAGTAAACTCTGGGAGTTGGTAATGGACAGGGAAGCCTGGCGTGCTGCAGTCCATGGGGTCGCCAAGAGTCGGACATGACTGAGCGACTGAACTGAACTGAACTGATTTGAAATAATATTTGGGAATACAGCTTCTAGAGTTTTACTTCTTTAAGAGCCAGCCTCTGAATTGATACGACTTAACCACTGAAGACAGGCAGTTTCTTTTTAGAGATTTCTTGAGGCAGCAAGTGTACAACATCCTTTGATACTATATCTTAATATATAATCACTCATAAACCAAGATATCATTCTTAGATTTTACCAAAAACTCTTGCTGCAATTAAAACTCACTTCCTCTCCCTTAATCTTTTGGTAGGTAAAAATAACTGATCATCCTTCTTACAATAAAATCTCCATAATTAAAGACTCTTCACCACTCTTCAACTTTATTATCTTTCAGCTAAGCAACGCTATGGGGCTCAAATTTTTTGGCAGTATTTTATTTTGGTGTTGACAGTGATGGATAAATACTGCTTACCTAGTGCTGGAAAAATTCCTCTACTGTACATAAAGGCTTTTATTAAAGTGTAGACATTTGGATTCTACACACTTCTTTGGTTTTATTTGGAGAAATTACTTTTACAGCTGAGAGGTTTTTGGATGTGATCTTTTTGGATTTCACAGAAGAAATATAATATCAAGGGTTATCATTCTCCAGTATGACAAATGAATCACTGGCCTTTTCTATGTTACTTCAGTAACATTCCCATAGGAATATGCAGCACTAAAAAGAATAGTTTGTTTATAGAATGAGTCATTTAAAAACTCTCGCTTACCTCGGTTGATTAGTGTTGTCCAATGCCTCAAACTCTTCTAGAATGACTTGATTTATAGAAGGCACCTTAAGATAGCGCTGACAATTCACTTGTCCCAATGCAGGTGGGTTGAGTCATGACTTGTAAAGTCTGAGATACACCCAACGACCGGCGCACCGGGTCATACAGGCAGGTGGGGTTGGCAATACCAGGTGTGATTTAGCGGCGTTGGGCGGGGCCTCTTGCAGTCCCCGAGTCACTGCAAACGTTCTAACTTTTAAAATCCTCTTTCCTTGAGGACTTCAAGAGTCTACTAAAAGGTAAGCATCCCGTGATAGGTAACCTAAGCCATTTCCCCTTTTATCTGCAAAGTAAACCGTCTAGCACAGCGAAAATCTCTGTAGGAATAGCAACCGGGGTGGTAGTTCTGGTGTGAGAGCCTTCACTGGGCATTTTCTTCGATGCCCTACATTTCTCCTCCTGTTTTAAGTACCACACATCCAACTGCTTATTCCCTAACCCTCCCGACACCAGCTGTGTGAGAACAGTTTGTGTTTACTGAGAAGGGCCTGGGGTGTCTCAGGGTAGTTGCTTTGGGGGGCGGCGATCTGACTCTATCCGCCGGGTACATAACTATCTTCAATCTCTGGTAAGCGGAAACATTTTTAAGCAGTACGAAAATAATCAATCGTGCTTCAGGTTCTCTCTCTTGCTAAAGTATCTGTGGAAGGCTGGGAGTTGTACTGGTGAAGAAACATTCCTTGCTCAGCCACAGAACGTACGGCTCCCATCCCAGCTTCGGCTCCGCTAGGCTGCCTCAGGCCGCAGACGCCCCACCCCCTGCCACCTCCGTGCGTCTCATTGGCCAGGCCCTGAACCCGCCTCGGCTCCTGACTGGAGGCTGCTCCTGTCTGTCTGCGCGGTGGGGACATTTCCGCATTGAAAGGGCTGCTCCAAATGGAGGGGGAGGGGAGGTGCTTAAGAGAAAGTGGGGGCTTTGGAAATCGGAATCCGCAGCTAGGTGGACGGAGGGGGTCAGCAGCTGGGCTGTGACCACTGGCGAGGGGCTCGAGGTGTGCATTTGTGAGGGGAGAGAGGGAGAGAGAAGGGTGCCTCAGAGGTGACATTTTCTCAGCCTGCGAGTCTTCTTCCAGGGGCGCCACAAACGCCCCCAGTTCCCCAGCTGCTAAAGGAAGAGGAGGAAGGTGGGTCTCGGTGGCGGCTTGGGGAGGGGCCGGGGCGGGCTTCCCACCGCTCTAAGGGCGAGTGTGTTGCTCTTTCTGAGGCTTGTAGAGCCCTTGTACTCAACCTGCACTTTGGCCCCGGAGGTCGAATTTGGGGTTCGGCCAAGAGAAACTAGAATGTGTGAGGGTTGGGGCTGACTCCTGTCCCTCGGATTCGGGGCGGTACACGGGTTCTCCCCTCGCGGGCGGCCCCCTGGTGTCCGCTGCGGGGGAGGGGCTCTGTAGCTTTCGGCCCCTCCCGGGAAAAAGCGCGGCCGTTTGCAGCCGGGAGGCTGGCGTCTGGAGGCCCGGCCCGCGCCTCCAGACGGCACGCCGAATTCTTAGCGCCTCCAAGTCCCGGGACGTTTCTGAGCGGGTAGAAAGGACTGCCTCGCCCCCTCTCGGCAGGCCTCCCCCTCCTCCCGATCCCTGCTGGGGCGGGGACAGCTGTTGGCCAGAGTTTCCCCGGGAACCGTCCTGAGGCCGGAAGGCAGCAAGGGGAGGGGATGTAGGGGTGCGGCCCGCCTGTGCCTGCGGCCGTCCAGCCCCCGAGGGCGTGGGGACTCGGGGGCGGTGAAGCCGCTCTAGATCCGCCTCTTTCATTGATGAAATTTAAGTTCGTGTGATTTTACCTTTTCCGGGAGCCTCCAGCTGGCCCTCATTTGTGTCAGGGGTGCAGTGTAGGCTGGAGTTCCAAGCAGACTCAGTCGCACCAAGTTTCTGTCTTTTGAAAGTGGACAAGGGGGTTAAGGTGTTTTTTTTTTTTTGGAGGCAGTTTTAGTTTTTTGAGTACATACTCTTAAGTGGCCAAACATAGGAAGAGAAGAAAGAATTCGTCATTTGTTAAAGCAGGAGTGGAAGAAAGACCTCTATAGCGTTGACTCCTCTAGACATTTAAATATATTTATATTTGTAAGCCAATTTATTTTAATAAATCCCTAAAATGTCGAGATTTGTACAAGGTAAGATACGCTTCTTATCTCCCGGGTTGCTCTAGCATTACCGAACTTGGGGACCGGCAATGGAGAGGTTGGTGGGTGGTTTGAAAGTGGAAATGTTCATTTGAGATACTATTTGCGAAACCCTTTTCGTTAAATTGACATTTGAGCTGTCATGAGCTGCTGGGTTGGCGTTTCAGAAAACGTATCATTTATACCCTTGTACTCTGCTGCATTAGTTCTGCCTCCCTGAAATCAGGTTAGTAGCACCCTGGTTCCTCGGGATAGTGGCTGTAAATGATGATAAAACAGGATTTTGACTTCTTACTGATCCCTGTTCTCTTTTCGTGGTCGAAGTCGAGGTAACTCTGGGTGCGGACGGGAAGGGGAACTGAGAGGGTTGAGGAAAGGCAGGTGGGTTTAGCCAGGACGGTTGGGAAAGCTTTAGTGTTCTCAGCTTCTCCGTTTGTGTGTACGTGGTCTGAGTCTCAGATTCATTTATTGCGAAACAGGGAGTAGCTCGTAGAAGCTGGAGGTCATTTCAGCAGAAGAAATGACTTTGCTGCATTGCTGTTTTTTTTTTCCCCCCTCCTTTGAAATCTGTAAAGATTATTACGGTTTCTTGGAAATTAGCGAATTGCTCTCTAAATTCTACATATGTGTTTGAAAAAGGTTTAAAGAATGCCTCTCAACTGAATTAAGCAGTAATGTGTGTGTGTGTGTGTGTGTGTGTGTGTACGCTTTGAAATTGGTGGGATTTGCCTTCTCTGTATGCAAGGAAATCCTTTTTTTTGAGGACCCAAGAGTGTGAAAGCTTCAGCCATCTTGCTGAAAACACAGCTAGTAAAGTTCACAACCACTTAATGTGGCTCTCAATAAATGCAGATGTACTTTAAAAAAAATTGTCAGTAATAGCCATCATTTGGCCCTGGGCATAAAAATGTCATAATCTGTTTTACATCACTTTATTAACTCTTGAGTTTTGTATAATAAGAGACTTTGCCTGCATTATTTTGAAAACAGACGGGATTCTTATCTGCCTTTAGCACTAAGCTCAGAAATGTCACTTGTCATTAAACTTCTAAATTCATATTATGCTTTATATGTGATGAAGGATGCTTCCTTATTCAGACTGAGCAAATGTCTTAGTCAAGAATAGGAAGTAGAGGTTAACTGTCAGAAGTTTGCTTGTTTTTGTAATGATAACATTTAATTACCAGAAAGCCAGTATTGGAATAATATGCTAGAGAAAAGTGGACAAGTCACTTCTTTTTAAAAATTGAGAATATTATTAAACTCCAGATGTTCCTTGTTACGGTTTAGAGCATCTTACAGATGGGGTGCTGCACATTGACTGGTGTCAAATCTTGCTGTTAATGGCTAACTAACTGCTTTCAGGAGATAGTAAGTGGCAATACCTGGGTATGTTGTTATTCCTTTCTCTTGTCATCCACTTTTTCTTTTTTAATAAACTGTTTTATCTTGGGATACCTTTAGATTTGTAAAAAAGTCTCACATAGGTCAAAACTAAGAAATTATCACCAGTAACGTTGCTATTAACTCAACTACAGACTTAGACTTTCCATGATTCCATCCAACACTGCATTTACTTGCCATCCAATTTTGCTCTAAATGTTAGTTTTCATTTTTAATTTTGACAATTTTGCACAAAAAGATGACACACCTCTCCCCTCTGAAAAAAAATTTAACATGATTTTGCTCCTGTTTATCATTGTTTAAATTTGTACTTCAAGTGTAAATTCTCTGTGTATTAACTCTGTTGCTGTGATAAGTGATAAACTTTATTGGCACATAAATCCATTGTCTCCACATGTCAGTTTTTTAAGTAAAAGGGTTAGGATTTTTGTTTTTGAATTTTTTGGTAGGAGATGAAATTGATCTTTGCTGTGGTACTTATTGACATTTCTGTGCATTGACACTTAGCTTGTAGCACTTCATAAGGAAAGGAATGGGCAAATATTAGGTCCCTAAGCTGTTTTCATATGTTGTCTCATTTAAGCTTCACAAGAACGCTGAGAGGTAGTATATTTACAGGTGATGAAATCTAAGTATCTTATCCAAAGCTAGTAAGCACTGAAATTTGTATATAAATGTGTCTAAACCCTTGTCCATTCCAGTACCTTTTGTTGCCTCCTAAGTTAAAAACTTACCAGGAACAATGGCTCCTTTCTCCAACTAGACTGTTAGTTCCCTGTGGGCAAAGATAATATTATATCCCTGGGGGAAATACAGTGGCTTGAAGTGGTGGATGCTCTGAAAGAACCTGTCACAGATGACAGATGAGAAACGCAGCACTTTTCGTGTACTTTTTTAGTAGTTTAGCCCACATTTGGTTGTAGTTTATTAATAACACCTCTAACATAATTGCTGAGAAAGGTAAAAGGGATGGACCTAGGTTAGAATCCTGTTACTGATAGGTGATCATAGACACATAACTTTTCTGAATCTTCATTTCTATTAATACTTATATAAACATTTGGTATTAACACTTATGCCACAGGGTTTTTGAGAAGCTGAAATGAGATGAATTATGTGAGTGCATTTTGATGGGCAATAAACTTTCCTTTCCCTTCTTAAAATGATGATGGCTTTTTGGATAGCATTGCCACCATAAATATAACCACGTGTCACCAACAGAAGCAGAACAAGTCCCCTGTGACAGTTCTTTATTTTCCTATTCCAGTTTTGGTGTTCAGGCCTTCAGCAACTTGCTGATACATATATTTTTTAAGTATGGAGTTGGAGGGGAAAGCTTGAACAATGATGTGAATACATAATTGGTGACAGTTTTTGTTTCAGTCCAGTCAACAGCAAAATTTTGAGCTCTTTTAATATGCTATATTGGGATTTCTCCTGTATCCCTTATGATGGGCACAGATCTGGGTATTATCCCTGTGTGTTGTGTGCACATATGTTTAAATGTCCTGAAATCTGGGGTTGCTACACTTGGCTTGAATCTCTTGTCTCAAATCTAGGCATTGTGCGTTAAAAGAATGCTAAGTATCTCCATTCTTAAGCACTTTGACTGTAGGTTATTAGGTAGAAATGTTTAATTAATAAAAATATTTAATGTCAGTAGGTAGGAGAATTCTCAGTATATGTAATACTCAGCCAAAAGAAGATTTAACTCATTTTGGGCATCTCTCAAGTCTGTGTTCCTCAGGCACTTAAGATTCCTTCTCATAGGAGGATTGTTTATTGGATCTCTGGCTTAATTCCCTAGTTGGTGTATTCTGCCCTCATGTCACCTTCTGTCTGCCTGTAAAATTACATCTCCATTTGCTAGTTTTCTCCATCCCAGGGGTTGTTGCAGGCTCCTCAATTATTCCAAATAAATGTGACTACTATTTGATTGAGTACTAAATAGTGCTTCCCTGGTGGCTCAGAGGTTAAAGCGTTTGCCTGCAATGCGGGAGCCCTGGGTTCAATCCCTGGGTTGGGAAGATCTCCTGGAGAAGGAAATGGCAAGCCACTCCAGTATTCTTGCCTGGAGAATCCCATGGATGGAGGAGCCTGGTGGGCTACAGTCCACGGGATCACAAAGAGTCGGACCCGACTGAGCAGCTTCACTACTTGTTGTAGTTGGAGGTGACACCTCCTCCTGTGACCTGCTGGTTCATCAGCAGCTAGGACTTTTGCCAGGTGTGTCAATGGGTGCTGTTTGGAATTTGGCTTCCCAAAAGATCTGAGAGCTACGGGGCAATCTCCATACATGATTTGAAACTTATAAATGGTGCTGGGCCTATTGTCATCTAACCAACTAAGGCTGTGTTATGTACTTATACTATAATTTAGAGGAACTTTGAAACATTTCTTTCTTTTTTTTTTTTTAATTAAAAAATTTTTTTTGGCTGTGCCGCATGCAGGTCATAGTTCCCCAAGCAGGGGTCAAACCCATGCTCCTGGAGTGGAAGTGCAGAGCCTTAACCACTGGGCCATCAGGAAAGTCCCTAGAGGAACTTAAAAGAAAAAAAAACGTAATCTATCTGAATTATATAAAAATGTCCCTTAATATTCTTAAATTGAAGTCCTTCTATTTCAGGAGAAGCCATTTGAGTGCCTCTGTGTCACTTAAAAAATATTTGAGGCCTGTCAGCTTTTCCATTTGTTGGAATTCTCTTTTCGTGTCTTTAGTTTGGTGATTCTTGTTTGGTCAGTGGCAGCTAGCCAGGGAAGATTAGTTGAACTAATTATAACAGGAGGGGTCTCAGATGAATATCAAGGTGAGAAGCATTCTGTGGCTTGGTTGTAGAGGTCAGGCCTAGGCCTGGTTCTTCTCAAATCCTGAGACTAAATTTAGCCTGTAGCTGATTATTTAGATGACTAGGATGTTTTCAGCCCAGGGAGGTTGTGGCATGGATTTGAGGCAAGACTAGAGGTGGCACAGCAATGATTAAGGCACACTTCTCATTTTTAAAGATGTAGCTTAGCATTCATTATGTTGCTCGAGAAAGAGGATTTAGTTAAATTCATAGTCACAGTTATATATGAAAAATTAAAAGAAATTCAAAGAGTTGTACTGATGAACACTCTTTGTTTTCTAATGTGGATCTTGGTCAGATCATCTCTGTTCCAGTAAAATGGGTGATTTTGATAACTGGGTCTTTCTTGCAGTAAAATGGATGATTTTCACTTGTAAGAGTCTACCAGGTGGCTCAGTGGTAAAGAATCCACCTGTCAGTTCAGGAGACACAAGTTTGATCCATGGGTCAGGAAGATCCCCTAGAGGGGGAAGTGGATCTTCTTGCCTTGAAGATCCCATGGACCGAGGAGCCTGGGGGCCTACAGTCCATAGGGTGGCAAGACTCAGACACGACTGAGCTGAGCACTCATGAAGAAAAGAAACTGAACGTTAGAGAAATAAGAAATATTAACTGGTATACTTCTTGGAAGTGCCATTTTAATATTCTGAAGATAAATTGAAAAATAAAAGGAAATTACAATGTTAATTTTGTAATATTGAGGCTTCCCTGGTAGTTCAGTTGGTAAAGAATCTGCCTGCA